GCATTATCCTATACATATATATATTTCTGATTTGTCACGCTACTACAATAGGTTTAGTAAATATAAATGAAATATTTACATGTATAAGTAGGTGGCGAGGAGGCATCCGGATATCTTAAGGCTTGTAGATTGGATGTCTCCTCGCGGGCTTGTTAATAAGATAAGTGATTATTAGATTAGGAAATAATGTATTAAGTTTTTTGTGATGGTGAAGAGATATCATTGTTATAATTGTTATTGTTTTAAGATTAGATTAAAATAGAATAAACTTTCTAATAAGAAATTAAGCATTCCACTGCTGAAGTAACTGGAAAGGAATTATAAACTGCTTAGTAAGGAAATAATGTATTAAGTTTTTTTGTGATGGTGAAGAGATATCATTGTTATAATCGTTATTGTTTTAAGATTAGATTAAATTAGAATTAACTTTCTAATAAGAAATTAAGCATTCCACTGCTGAAGTAATTGAAAAAGAATTGTAAACTGCTTAGTATTTGTTTTACATGGATGGAAACGATATAAATTTGAACTTCTAGTATTATAGCTGTGCACTTGGTGACTGGTGATGAATAAGTTGAGAAAAGATGGGGGAAGTAAACGGTGGTGATAGGAAACATAAACTTGGCGACATGAAATGTATTAATTTTGTAGATATCAAGAATTTTAACTGAGTAAACAATGGTGCAGTATGCGCATGAAAATCCGAATTTGCCAATGCTCGACAATTCGTTTTTGTAACAAGTATATCCGTTTTAGGTTAGTTTTATAATTGGATGACCAAACTATATTACAATAGGTGAGGTATGGATAAACTAAAGAATAATATAAGGATATAGTTTGGTTTTGGTAGATAAATAGTAGCGACATCTAAAGATTATGCCGTTGGATTTTGAGACCTTTTTACAGATATAAGATATATGTGATTTCCAGGAAAGATTTTCATCAATAACAACTCCTAGAAATTTAATACTTTGTTTTTGTACTGGCTGCATGGGTTTTACCAAATATAATAGACATATTCTTGTAATTTTTTTTTGCCTTCGCTTTTGAATAAGATTTGTTGGTGTTTACCGATAGCTTATTAACCTTCATCCATAAGTCAATATATTCCAATTCTTCTTTTATAACTCTAGCTAATTCATCTGGATCATTGTGAGAGTAAAAAATACTGGTATTATCTGCGAATAAAGATTCGGTTAAATGCAAAACACCCGGGAGGTCATTTATATAAAGGATAAAAAAGAGTGGTCCCAATATTGAGCTTTGAGGTACGCCACATCTGATTTCTTTTTCGACCGAGAAAACATTATTGTATTGCAAAAATTGGGTACGATTTTTAAAATAACTTTTGATCCATTCCAACGCTACCCCGCGGATGCCATAGCGCTCAAGTTTAATATGGTATAATATATCATGATTAATAGTATCGAAAGCTTTAGAGAGGTCCAAGAAAACACCAGCTGTAATCTCCCCATGGTCAAAAGAGGATGAAATTCTATTTATTAAATGAATTAGTGCAAGATTTGTTGAATGATTTTTACGGAAGCCAAACTGATTATAACACAAAATTTCAAATCGTTCTGCAAATTCAAGTAATCGAGAATGCATAACTCTTTCATAAAATGTGGAAAAATTTGTTAGGAGTGAAATGCATGGGTCTGTAATTTTTAAATAATTGTGGGTCATCTGCTTTAAAATAGGGATTATTTTGGCCATTTTTAATTTATCTGGAAAGACCCCTGTCTCCAACAATATGCTAATCAAATGCATTAAAGGGTCAATGATGAATTCAAAAGAATTTTTGATAAGATGCATGCATGGGAATATTATCATAATGTGGGGGGCTTTCCCAGTCTTGGATGACATACAAATTTGTCTTAATTCAGTCAAGGAAGTTGGTTTTAGGAATATTGTTCCACTTTTGGCGGGTCCTAAACAGTCTCTAAAAGATGAGGTTACAGCCGGGATTTTATTTGCTGAAGATGGGCCTATGTTTGAAAAGAACTTACAAAACCCATTGGCGATTTCAGTAGGGTCAGTAACTAATCGATCGCCAATTTGAAATTGGTGACATTGCGAAATTATTCCATTTTATCGAGTGCATGAGTATGAGATAGCCAGAAGTGCTTTAGTAATTTCAGTGATACAACAGGTCGAACAAGAATTTTGTCTTCTTCGGCTAGTGCCATAATGTTTTATTACCTTCACAAAGAGCTGCGTTTCCGGCAAATCTACTATCACAAATGCACCAGAAAGATCCATCAATGTTGATGCAGCTTGCATTTTGGTGACAGTCGTCAATAGACAGAGAACATTCATCGATGTCTGAAAAGATACAACAGATAATTGTCATTAACACTTTACATATATTTAGTTTTATTTTTCATGTATACCCGCTTTTATTTTTTTTATATTGTGCTATTCATATATATGTGCTGCTTTTCTCCGTAGACCAGAGGTCTTGCCAAATGTCACACAAAATGTCCTGGGTTTTTTTTAGTATTTACAGTATGTAGGCTATAATTTGGCGTAACAATTCGAAGAAGATAATTTTGATATTGCTGATTTCAGGCATGCAAGTTCAGAAGGATATAGGCGTGAATAAAAGAAGTGAATAAAAGTACTGGAAGCCATGCACACAATAATATAGTTAAAAACTGGTCAGCTATTTGTTGCATTGGATTGAGAAGAAATCTGTATGAACAAAGTAAACCTATTAATACTAGAATATAACTATAATACTATTATATCTGAATCGCTTTTCTCTTTAACTTAGGCTGTGAATGATATTATTCCATAGTACTAAATGTCGGACAGGTGGCAGCCGCAATTTTAATTCGAATCAAATTTTCAATTCTATAAAATAAAAAGGCCTAACGCCAAACTCGTTGCTGAACCCAATGCCAAACTCTATAGACAGTAGAAATTAAAACGGAAAAAAGATTGTTTTTTTCAGGAAAACTGCCTCGACCGGGATTTGAACCTACAACATAACAATCACTGTCGTACGCCGTCACCACTTAGCTGAAATAAATATAACTGGAACGCTACCTTCAGATGAAGTCGCCCATGTTGCCTGAAGTCAAATCTGACCCAGTGTCTGGGGGTCAATACCCACGTGTATAAGCCTCGAGATTCTTTCGCGAGACCAGTTTAGGGAGCGAGCAATTGCATGCTGTTTTACTGAAAGAGTGCATGTAAAGCTTCGGATGCAATACTTTTGCTGCGATGGTTGCACAATGCTTGATAACAGTATTGCGTTGCTGTCGCACAAGGTGGCTACACCTGCAATATTTCGTTATTATTATTTAATCTTATTTTACAACGGTAGGCTCTTCAGTGAATTAGGACTGATTTTCAAGAGGCCGTTGAATTTGAATTTGAATTTTTTTTTTAATTATATAAACTTTGTCACAATATAAATTACATATCTAAATACTATAATGACTATAACACATTCCGAGCTATCCCTGCATGTATTGTTTTCCAAGACTAACAAACTGTTAAAACCATATTAAAACAGACATGAAACCGTAGATGCAAGATAACTCGAAATGCACTAGATCTAACAATACAACAATTTACAACAATTGTGACAGGGTATTCACGACAGCTTATAGCTGATAGGAAGAACCTTCAATTTCTTCAGCCGTTGCTCGTAGCTGGCTTCGCAAAGAAAAGGCAGGCCAAGGATGTATTTTGAAGCACGCCTTTGTACACGCCTTTGTTCCTGTGGTGACCAAACTTGCGTTGCATAACCGACTTGAGATCTAACAAGAGTTAGGTAGAGGGTACGACGCGCTGATTGACTGGTGACTTGTGGTTCGTTTTACAAAACCAGAATTTATTTGCCTTTGAACATTGTTCCAAGATTTGTTTTCGCCACGTCAAGTTGTTGGAGATTTGGGTAAATCACGTTCATGTTTTGAGGTCTCTAAGGTTTGGTTTTCCAGACTGTAGGGATGCTCGATTGTCTTGCGCCTTCTGGTAACACGGAGAGCTTTACACTTCGAAGTGTTTAATTAAAGACCAGCATTCAAGGAACTGGTTTCAAAGTTTGACAGGTCATCCTGCAACGCTGTAGCAGAAACTAGAACAAATCCGGACAAATTTTATAACTTCTTCTGCAGAACTGAAAGATTTAAACGCAGTCCGTTAGTATATGCAATAGATAAATTAACGATAGGCTAGAACTGTAGTTTTTAAATTGAGAATGTTAATATGATGCTAATAAGAAATTATTTTGTCAGGTGGGCAGATTGTGTTTGGAATATAAGAGTAGTGTAATTGGCGATCATCTTAACCTAAATACTAATGTTTAGAAATATTTTAGCCGTATTTTAGATATAATTTTGTATATGCATGTAATATTCTAGAATCTGTTGTAGTTTTTAACAAGTAGTTGAACTAAATTGTAAACGCATTATAATTTAGCGTATCAGCTATTGAAATGTGGGAAATAAAGCCATTATTATTATTATTATTATTATTATTATTATTATTATTATTATTATTATTATTATTATTATTATTATTATTATTATTATTATTATTATTATTATTATTATTATTGTTATTATTATTATTATTATTATTATTATTATTATTATTATTATTATTATTATTATTATTATTATTATTATTATTATTATTATTATTATTATTATTATTATTATTATTATTATTATTATTAATAATAATAATAATAATAATAATATGTCATACTAATATTGTTATTATGTAGAGTGTTAATTCAAGTAGATACTGGTAAACTACCTGTAAAGAGAGGTTTATCATTGTAGTGTGTATATATATTATTGAAAGTAATAAAGTTTCCATTATTATTATTATTATTATTATTTAATGGCACGGCTATTTTAAAGCCGGGCGTTAAACTTCCAAAAACTGAACATGAATGGAAGGAGGCGGATCTTTATTTTAGAGCCGAGCTGCCTATATTCGAGGTTAGCGAATGTTCAGTGAACGATTGTGTTGACAAAATGACGAATTTGATATATGATTACTTTGTAGAAAATTTCGGTACGGTGAATAAGTGCAAGGATTCCAACTCTGAATATCATACTAAGTATGCTAGTTACTCAAAACAAGAGCTAAAACGAGAACTGAAAGCATTGAAACGCCAGTTACCTGTTGATGTAGAGAATATTCAGTATGTGTCAAGATTACTAAGGAAATTAACTCAGAATAAAGGCCATGATAATGCTAAATCTATTAATCACGACGAGGAAATCAAGAAAAATTTCTGGGCTTATGCCAAATCGCATTTGGATAGCGCTGACTATCTGATACCAACGTTCGATTTGGCAACTTGCACTAATTACTTTAAAAACATTTGGATGAACGCATGTCCATCTCATGTTTTTTCCCTACCAAATTGGTTACCGAGACTTTCAGCACCTGTACACGAATTTAATTCTACACCTCCAACTTATGCTAAAATTACGGCTATCATCAAAAGAATGAAAACAGGTAGCTCTGCGTGCCCGCGTGATCAGCTCTCAATTATTCCCTTTAAAAAATCTGCATACCTTAGATCTTACTTGACAACAATCATTCAAATGGTATGGAAATCGGGCCAAATTCCTGACACTTGGAGAAGAGCTGCATCAATTCTTATTCACAAAAAAAAATCAACTGACGATCCTCAAAACTTTAGACCAATTACCCTGCAATCAGTGCCTCTCAAAATCTTTACATCAACAATACGGAATGCCATGTATGAGTTTCTATCAAAAAACAATTATATTATTGAAAATAGGATTCAAAAAGGATTTACTCCGGGAATGTCCGGCACGTTTGAACATACGGCCCATTTAGCATACTTAATTAGACGAGCGAAAAAACAGCAAAGATCTCTAACAATAGCTACTTGACTTAAGAAATGCATTCGGCGAAGTCCACCATAAGCTGATTCAAACAGTACTAAAATATCATCAAATCCCCGAGCATTTTCAAAATTGTATTGCAAACCTCTATACTGACTTCCGTACCGTAGTGGTTACGGAAAAATATCTAACCCCGTTCCTTAAAGTGAGTAAAGGAGTGCTACAAGGAGATTATTTGAGCCCGTTGTTGTTCAACATGGTAATGAATACGTTTATTCAATACATTAAAACGGATCAGTTTTGTCAACTCGGATTTAATGCTGGGCAGCCGTTTCTAACCCCCAAACATTGGTTTCAATTTGCCGATGACGCGGTGATAACAACAGGTGAGGAGTACGAGACACAAATATTACTGAATGCATTCACCATGTGGTGTAATTGGGCAAAAATGACGCTAAGAGTCGACAAATGCAAGTCATTCGGAATTATCAAAAGGAACTCATTATCCAAGCAGTATTTTCCGAAAATTTACGTTAACCACGGCTTAATTACAGCGGTAAAGGGGAACGAAAGCTTTTGTTATCTCGGTAGATTTTACAACTTCCCGATGGATAACGTAGAACATAAACAGTTCTTGCTGTCTGAGACTAGTAGCATCTTAGAAAAAATCGATCGTCTCCCTCTACACTCAAAATTTAAGCTTGAGTTATATATGAAATATCTGCTCCCGAAAATATCTTGGCATCTCACTATTGCAGACATTGATAGAACATGGATAAAGCAAACTTTAGACACAATGTGCCACAATAAATTTCGGACATGGCTTGAGATACCACCAAACGGCACCCTTGACATATTGCTTCTTGGGAAATCCAAATTCGGTTTCGACATCATTGATGTATCAACAAAATTCACTGAATGTCAAGTAATTTTGCGAAATAAATTAAAAGACTCGAGTTGTCTAGACACCCAAAACCTTTTCTACGCATCTAGCTCAAATTGTAATGTGCAGTACGATGGTTTCTCCACCGCAAAACAGGTTGCCAAAGAAATTAGGAAAGATAAGATCTTTAATATTGAAAGCAAGCTAACGTCGCAGAGTCTTATAATTAAGTCGATTTGGAGAGATGCTTTCCAGGGTACAGCGAAAGATTGGCACTCGGCAGTTGACAAACTCCCTAAAAACATATACAACTTCGTAACTAGATATTTAAATAACACCCTACCTACATTAACAAACATGGTTTTGTGGAAGAAAGCTCAAAATAATCTGTGTCATTTCTGCTTGAATGTGCAAACACTACAACATATAGCGTCTTCTTGCAAAACATCCCTGGACGAAGGTCGATACACATGGAGACACAATTCAGTGCTGAAACACCTAGCAACGTACATATCTAGTGTCAGAAGGGACTTTCACGTTTATGCAGACATTTCTGGTTTTGATAATCCATCTGTGATCACAGGCTGTAATGACCGACCAGACTTGGTAATATCAGACAACAACCAAAATATATATGTTATTGAATTGACAATCGGCTTTGAAACTAATATGGCAAAAAAACTGTTTAAGGAAAAGGGAACGATACAAGGATCTTTGTAACTTTTTAAGAGAACGATTTAACAAAGTAACGTATTTTAACTTATGCATGGGCGCGATTGGAGTTTTAAGTCATGAATGTAAACAGTTCTATGACTTTTTGGACCGCGAAGTAAGATTAAGCGATATGCAAAGAAAATTCATCATTAGAAAACTAACCGGCTGCTGCATAAGGACAAGTTATTATATATTTTGCTCTAGAAACAGACAATGGTCTTGCCCTGAACTTTTATATTGGTAGGATTCATGCTGTCATGTGTATGTACAGTTATCTTATTTGACACTGTCTACGTTGTTACCTTACGAACGTATTTTAAAATAACCATTGTAATAGCATTTCTGTAGAAATTCCATTTTGATGATTTGTAAATATTTTAAGCTTAGTTTAACATTGTATTCTTTTCTTAATCTTTTGTACCATAATGTAGCCAGGTTGCCTATAATACTTTAGTGAGAGCTGGTTACTAATATTTGTATGAAATGAAATAAAATGTGTTTACATTATTATTATTATTATTATTATTATCATCAAGGCAGTTTATTTCTTTAAATAACTTGGTGTCATCAGCATAAGTTAGGATAGAAGAACTCTCAGTACTGGAAGGTAGCTCGTTTTCATATAACAAGAACAGCAGTGGACCAAGAATTGAGCCTTGAGGTACTCCTGACATTACTGGTGTAGGAGATGATGTTGCTCCAAGGATTGTTGTTTGTTGTCTAAGATCTTGTAAGTATGATTGGAACCATTTGAGAATGTTACCACTAAACCCGAAATCACGAAGACGAAGGAGAAGGCGTTTGTGGCTCACCTTATCGAAGGCTTTCGACATGTCCAGGTATAACAAATCGATTTGTTAGCACGATCCAACAAGTTACCAATCGTGTCGAACACTTCGATAAACAGAGTGACGTAATTTCTTCCTGGGATGAAGCCATGTTGACAAGAATTAACCTGGCTTAGCACGCGATCTTTGATGCATTCGAACAAACAGGGTTCCAAATACTTTAGATATTAAAGACAGCAGAGATATTGGTCTGTAATTATCAACATATTCCTTATCTCCCGTCTTAAAAACAGGAACGACATTGGCCAGTTCCCAATCTCTCGGTACTATTCCAATGCGCAGTTACTTGTTGTCTGAACAGATCACAAAGCGATGGTGCTATCACTGACGCTGTTTCTGTAAGTACACGGGCGGGGATACCATCCGGTCCGTATGCTTTATCGTAGTCAAGAGTTCGTAAGACTGCAGCAACATGATCTGGTGTTAACATGATGTCTTCTAACAAGGTGGTGTTTGTAGAATGGTCACAATCTGCGTCGATCGTACGCGAATCTTTTTCCGTGCTAGGTTGATCTCTGGTGAAGATTGAAGTGAAGTATGTATTGAAGATGGATGCGATGGCTTCTGGCGATTCTGCAGATGTTCTTGCACCTTCACTTTCAGCTTGCTTCGACAGTTTCTCAAGAACGTTGCGAACTTTCGATTTCAATTTGAATATCGACCAAAAGCGCTTCGGATTATTGTTGCGGTTTGCACAAACACTGTTTATATACCTTGACCGACTATCATGCAACATTTTCTTGATGGTAGCTGTAAGTTCCATGATTTTTGCTTTAAGATGTTCTTTTGATGTTTTAGATTTTATCAGCTTACGTCGTAGGGAACTTTTCTTTCTGATATTGTGTAATATCAAAAAGAGAAGCCAAATGATGAAATTCTAGGAAAGATGTAAAATTTTATAAAAGGTATTACTCTATTTACAAGCTCGTTCTTCCATGTTACTGAGAATAGCCCCGAACTGACAAACTGATATTGCTCTATCTTTTGCGCACATCGGCAGATCATTCTAAAGCGCAGCACCGGAATAACTGAAGCTTCAAATAATTCGTATTCGGTTTTGGAAGTGCAAAATCTAATTCGTTACTGCGAAGGTTATTGTTTTTATTGTTGCTAGTGTTAAACGGGCTCATTAGGCATTCGGGAAACTTATTTTATACATAAATAATGCCCTTTTGTTATTTGGTCGGTCTAGCAAGTTAGCAACGGTTGCCATCCTAAGTTTTTTTAAAATCTCACTTGAACGAGTTTCATAGGATTTTCCAGTTATGACTCTTGTAGCCCTGTTCTGCAGTTTTTGTAATTTTTCTGATGGACATTTACCGCAATCATCCCAGACAAGGCTACAATAGTCGAAATGTGGCATTATCAGTGTACTATAGACAATCCTTAAAGTTTCCTGGGGAACATAGGCTTAACATGCAAATTCCACTAGAAACTTGGGTAGTTATTTCGTCAATTTGATTTTTCCATAGTAATTTTTCGTCGATGACAATACCTAATGTTTTTGCACGTTCCTGAGATATAGTACGACCAATTTTGCACATCTGACTTCGATTTGTGAAGTACGATTTAAACCAGCAAAGTGTATTTTCACTGCACCCATACAACTTTAGTTTTCTGATTAGAATATCGTGATTTACACAATCGAAACTTTTTAATTAAGGTCTGGGAAAACAACTCCGTTTAAATCTCCTTAGCCCATGTTAATGAACCACTTGTTAGTAGAATTTAAAAGCGATGTTTCTGTTGAGTTTTTCTTCCTAAAACCTGCTTGTTGTTGTGTGGGTATGCCTCTTGTTTCCAGAAATGTTGACAATTGATTTGATATAAGTTTTCCAAAAACTTTAGCTACAACTGAAAGTACTGAAATTGCCCTATAGTTATTTCACTCTAATTTGCTTTCAGATTTATTATTCAAATTAACATTAATAAAACTGTTATTTCCAATGCTAATGACTGTTTCTACGTTCCGAAACTACTATTGACAAATACGATGTCATTAGCTCCCAAAATTGATGAAGTGAGTTGTTTTGTCACAGAAAAGAGTCCTGACCTTGCCTGTATAACGGAAACATGGCTAAATGACCGTATTTCAGATTCCTGCCTCGATATTCCAGGTTACAATTTTGCTCATAAAAACCGCAGTGTGGGCTCCCACGGAGGGGTTGGGGTGTACATCAGGAACACGATATTTTATAAGCCTCTGAATCATCTCCACCATACAGATTACGAAGTTCTGTGGGTCTATTTTCGTCCAAGTAGACTTCCCCGTGGGTTTTCCTGCTTGATACTTGGTGTCGTTTACCATCCACCTAATGCTAATGATGATGAAATGCTCCAATTTCTCTCCACATCACTGATTACTATTGAAAGCACCTATCCTGGCTGTGGGTTTATTCTTGCAGGCGACTTTAATCGGTTAAAATGCAATCTGTTATTAACACAGTTCAGTTGCAAACAGATTGTTAATGTTTCCACAAGGGCCAACCAGACTTTGGATCTAATAATAACCAACTTACATTCGTTTTATGATAAGAACTCTGTCGAAAAATTTCCACCATTTGGTTTTTCAGATCATAATGTTGTGATTGTCAATCCTTGCAAAAGAGAACCCAAGTCATGCAGTAGAAGAATTATCTCTAGTAGAGATTTACGATCTAGTAAAAGGCATGAGCTTGGAAGATACCTTACATCTATCGATTGGTCCTCTCTGAATCATTTTGACACATGCGAAATGAAACTCCAGTATTTCGAAGAGTTAGTACGTCTCGGTATTAGCACCATTATGCTAATAAAGAAAACGGCTTTGCATGTACACGATCCTCCATGGATTACTGCAGAATTTAAAGAGCTTATAAGGAAGCGTCAGGCTGCCTTCTGCAGTAGAAATACCTTTCAGTTCAAGTATTACCGGAATCGGGTTAACCGCGAGCGAAAGACATGCCGGGCGAAATTCTACTCTTCAAAAGTAAAGAATCTTAAATTGACCAAACCGAAGAGATGGTGGAAGGAGGTGAAACAGATTGCTGGTATGGTACCTACAACCGGCTCCGATGACCTATGCAGTCAACTTCATTTAGACGATATCGAGAATATGCAACGTCCTGACATTGCGAATTTAATTAATAACGCCCTTTTGGAGCCCATGAACTCCTTCAATCCACTGTCAACTCTTCCCCCCTTTGATAATTATTCCTCTTTTCAAGTGAACGAATTGGAAGTCTTTCATTTATTGAAAGCAATTAATCGTGGAAAGGCGTCAGGTCCTGACGAAATTCCCAATTGGGCTCTTAAGGAATATGCTGAAATCCTTGCACAGCCAGTATGCGCTGTGCTAAACAGCAGCTATGCCGAACAACAACTACCTAAATCTTGGAAGCTTGCCAACATTGTGCCCCTCATAAAAACTAAGCCAGTTAGCGACATTTGTAAGCAGTTACGGCCAATTTCACTTACTGCCGCTATTTCGAAAATCGGTGAGGACTGTGTTGTTAAAAAATACATTGCTCCAGCTATCATGAGTATAATCGATCCAAGTCAATATGGAGTAATACCAAGAAGTTCAACTACTCTCGCTGTTATATCTATGATCCACTAATGGTCGCAAGCTACTGATGGCACTGGCTCTGCTGTCAGAGTCATCCTGTTCGATTATAGAAAAGCATTCGACCTTATCGATCATGCTTTACTGGCTGATAAAATTTCCAATTTAGCTATTCCACGTGCGGTTGCTCCCTGGACAATCGACTTTTTGATGAATCGAAAGCAGAGAGTGAAATTATCCAATGACTGCTACTCGGAGTGGGGAGATGTACTTTCCGGTATCC